TGGGGTTATATAATTAGGGTTAGGGTTATATAATTTGGGTTAGGGTTCGGATTAAATAATTAGGTCATACTTAAATGTATTGGCAAATGTTCATACCAATGAACATCATTTTTGTAAACTTGAAATTAATGAATAAACACAGCTTCAGTCTCTCACAGTGTGCTGGTAGTGCCCCTACCTCTGAGCGAGTTGACTCATAAGGAGAGATTAACTTGGTTCGGACTATATTCATGGAGTGAATGGATATCTCATAGAAACCCTTGAAATTCTAACAGGACTAGACAGGGTTCAGAAAGTTCTCGATGGTAGGGGTGGGGGTGGGTTTGGGGGTGTAGGGGGTGGGCTCCAGTATCAGTGTCACAGTTTCAGGATAAGGGGGTCAACCGTTTAGGTCTGAGATGAGGAGAAACGTCGTCACCCAGAGAGTGGGGAGCCTGTGGAATTCATTACCACAAAAAGTTGTTGAAGCCAAAACATTGTGTTTTCAAGAAGGAGGTAGATACAGACCCTGTGGCTAATGGGATCAATGGGATATGTGGGAGGGTGGGATTCAGGTACTGAGCTCAATGATCAGCCCATGACTATATTGAATGGTGGAGCAGGCTGAAGGGGCTGAATTCCTTACTCCCGCTCCTATCTTCTCTGTTTCTATGTTTCTCAACTTCAAGTCCCATCTCTGGGTGCATTACCTTCACTGAACAAGTTGATTTGAGAATATCTAACTGCAGCCTGATTGAAATTAAATTAAATTAATTAAACAAGGGGCAGTTGTGTGAACAAGATAACTTACTTCAAAGAGTGAGGTTTCTCCATAAAACTGGAATTGTATCCGAGATTTCAGAGCCTGTTTCCCAGCTGGAAATTTGTGTATAACTGAAGGCAATTTAATGAAAGCCACAGCATTATTGAGTGATGTTTCATTCATATAGATCTATAATTAACCAGACAGTGTTCAGAAAGTCTCTCTGTGCAGCTGTTAGACTGTCAGCAGATTGAAAATTACAATTCACTTTTAGAATTCTGGATTCAATACTGGTGAAAGCAATTTGATGGTAATATTACTGTCATAGCCATGCAGAGGACATGAAAACAGAGAGTGCTGGAGAAACTCAGCAGGTCTGGCAGCCTCTATGGAGAGAGAAACAGAGTTGATGTTTTGAGTCTGATATAACTTTTCTTCAGAATGAGTAAGTCATCCAAGTAACTGAACTGAAGATCCATAGGCTGGAGTCAAATCCCACCATGACTGCTGGGAATTTAAATTCCTTCATTGAATGAGCTGTTCTCTGCAATGAGAGAGTAGGCTCCAAACACTGTGATGTCTTGCCCAGTGTTAGCAATAAGGACATTAACTGAAGCCCATGTAGCAATGTGGAGTGAAGGGGCAGGACCCCATTGTGATGTGGGTATAGGCCACGCAGCCTGGTCAATGAAAGAGCTTTGTGGAGTGTGTATATAACCAAGTAAGTCAAATTAAATCAAGTTAACATTTCCAGTCTGATCGTTCTTTATCAGAACTGAGAAAGAGTCACTGGAACTGAAACATTAACACTGATTTCTCTCCATAGATGCTGCCTTTCTCCAGCTTTTCTGTTTATGTTTCAGATTTCCAGCATCCATAGTTCTTTGTCTGATTCACTTAAACAGAATAGCCACGAAGGTAATAATCTCTGGATTAATACCTGAGCCACAATGAAATTGAGAACAGACAATGTTACACATAGCTCAGAGAGGTTTTTATTTGTTCATGGGATATGGGTGTCTGAGAATGGGATGAATTTCCCCATTCATCATGTTGAGATTCAAACCCAGGTGCCTAGAACATTAATCTGCTGCTCTGGATTCCTATCCCAGTGACATTCCCAAAAACCACAGCCTCCTCTTCTCCATGGCATTCCTCTGCTGCCTTTCCTTCTTCCTCAACCCCTCCTCTCACACCCCTCCCTCTCACACACACTCACTCGTCCACCTTCTCCCTTCTCTCTCTACCCCACGCTGCTCCAATTCACACCCTCTTTCTCTCCCTTCCACCCTACCAGCTCTCTCCTCTCCAACCCTCTCCTTCTCCATCCCTCCAGCTCCCTGACCCACACACCCCTCCCCTCTACTGTGTGCCTCCCACTTCCCTTGTTACCCCACGCCCCTCCTGCCTCCAGATCCTGTTGCCTCTCATCACCCTGTCCCCACATTTCTCACCCTCCCAAATCCCCGTATTCCCTCCCTCTCTGATTCCCCCCATCTGTTCCCCACCTCACTCTAGGTGCTGTTATCCCCATTTTACCCACTCCCACCCTCACCTACCCCAGCTCCACCTTCCCCCTCAGTCTTGCCCACTCACCTGTTGGATAAACCCATCAATATATGACAGCACTCCAAAGGCGATACCCCAAAAGTGGATGAAGTCGATGTTGACCACAGCCATGGAGACAGTATCCGTGGTGATGGCTACTTCATTGCCCACGAACTCCAGGTTATTTCCCACGGTTTCCATCATCTGTAAAATCCTGGAAGAAAGATAACAGTTTAACAAATGCTAAAATGAACCATTTCTGTGGCAACAGGGCAGCCCTGAAGGCTTTGCCTGGAGTAAGATCCATTGTGGGGTGGGGGGTGGGTGTGGGGGGTGTGGGTGGGACTGGAGTTTGTGGGGGAGTTAATTCTCCATCCAAGGTCCATCTCGTTCTAGACTCACCATACATGGGAACACCACCCCCTGCAAGATGCCCTCCAAGTCACTTACCATCCTGACATGGAAATATATTGCCATTCCTTCACTGTCACTGGGTCAAATCCTGGAATTCCCTCCCTCAGGGCATTGTGGGTCAACCCACAGCACCTGGACTGTGCCAGTTCAAGAAGGCAGCTCGCCCCCACCTTCTCAAGGGGGCAACTAGGGACAGGCAATAAATGCTGGGCCCAGCCAATGACACCCACATCCCATGGGACAGCCCCACGGAAGAATGTGGGTGTTGTGAGGCTGGTATGGGATTGTAAGGGAAACTCCATATGGGCACCTTCTGGGCAGTCTTCGGAAAATGTAACAAAAAAGATTGGCATCAGGTGGCAGGCCATCACTGTGTTGGGGAAGAGGGCTCTGTGTAGACAATGCGACCTTCTCATCCCAGTGTCTCCAGGATGGGGGAGTTTACCAGGAGGCGTTGATGGCCCCTTACCTTCCCAGGATCTGACATCAGTGGGGAGCACATAGATATCAGCAAGATCCCAGCATTTGGTCTAAAACAGCCCAACCGCTGCTGCTATGGCAAAGCTGGCAGAGACCATGTCTCTCCCTGAGTGCCTGAGAGGTGGAAATGTGATGTCCATCTCCAAACCGAAGCTCAAAGGAGCAGGAACGTTCCACACATTGGTTGAGAAACCACACACTGAACAAATTCCCCAGCTTTCTGACATCTTTGTATTCCCTTCAGCCACAGGTGAGGTCCCAGAGGACTGGAGAATAGCCAATGTTGTCCCATTGTTTAAGAAGGGTAGCAGGGATAATCCAGGAAATTACAGGCCTGTGAGCCTCACGTTGGTGGTAGGGAAATTATTGGAAAAGATTCTCAAGGACAAGATCAACACGCGTTTAGAAGCAAATGGACTTACTGGTGATAGACAGCATGGTTTTGTGCGGGGGAGGTTGTGTCTCACTAACTCGGTCTAGTGTTTTGAGGAGGTGATGAAGATGATTGATGAGGGAAAAGCGGTTGATGTTGTCTACATGGACTTCAGTAAAGCCTTGACAAGGTCCCTCATGGCATGCTGGTACAAAAGGTGAAGTCACATGCTATCAGGGTGAGTGGCAAGATGGATACAGATCTGGCTTAGTCACAGGAGACAGAGGGTAGCTGTGGAAGGATGCTTTTTAGAATGGAGGGTTGTGACTAGTGGTGTTCCACAGGGATCAGTGCTGGGACCTCTGCTGTTCATGGTCTACATAAATGAATTGGAGGAAGGCGTGGCTGGTCTCATTAGTAAGTTTATGGGTGACACAAAGATTGGTGGAATTGTGGATAGTGAGGAGGATTGTCAAAGGATACATTTGGATATAGATTAGTTGCAGACATGGGCAGAAAAATGGCAGATAGGGTCTAATCTGGGCAGATGTGAGATGATGCATTTTGGAAGGTCAAGTATAGGTAGAAATTATACAGTCAAAAACAGAACCCTTGAGAGTATTGATATGCAGAGCGATCTGGGTGTACAGGTCCACAGATCACTGAAGGTGGCAGCACAGGTAGATAATGTAGTAAAAAAGGCTTATGGCATGCATTTTTTCTGAAGAAGGGTCTAGACCCAAAACGTCAGCTTTCCTGCTCCTCTGATGCTGCTTGGCCTGCTGTGTTCGTCCAGCTCCACACCTTGTTATCTATGGCATGCTGGCCTTCATTGGAAGGAGCATTGAGTATAAGGATAGGCAAGTTATGCTGCAACTTTATAGAACTTTAGTTAGGCCACACGGGGAATATTGTGTACAGTTCTTGTCACCACACTACCAGAAGGATGTGTATGTTTTGGAGAAGGTACAGAAAAGGTTTACCAGAATGTTTGCCTGGTATAGGGGGATTTTAGCTATGAAGAAAGGTTGGACAGACTAAGTTTGTTTTCACTGGAACACAGGAAGATGAGGGATGACCTGATGGAAGTTTATAAGATTGTGAATGGCATGGATAGAGTGGAAAGTATGAGGCTTTTTTCCCAGGGTGGAGGGGTCAATTACTAGGGGACGCAGGTTCAAGGTGCAGGGGTGATGTTTAAAAGAGATTTGCGAGGCAGGTTTTTCACACAAAGGGTGATGAGTGTCTGGAACGTGCTGCCAGAGGAGGTGGTGGAAGCAGACACAATAGCAGCGTTCAAGAAATACCTGGACGAATACATGGATAGGAAGGGAATAGAGGGATATGGATCGTGTAAGTGAGGACAGTTTTAGTGTGGCAGGGCAAAGTGTGTCAGCACAGGCTTGGAGGGCCAAAGGGCCTGTTCCTGTGCTGTATTGTTCTTTTGTTCTATCTTCTCTCAGGACAGATGAAAGTTAAAATCCTCCATTAAAATCACTCTTCCTTTGCTGCATTCATCTCATTTCTGCATTTATATAATCACCTGGTTCATAGCTGCTACATGGATACTTCTCTCTCCAACTCCCGACACTCTCGTTCCTGTTTCTTCATTCTGCCTATAGAGTCTCCATTGCTACAGCAGGTATATCTCATTACATTCGTCCCAGAGGTCAGCTCTTTGTCTTATGAGGGGAAATGGAGCTGTTTAGGCCAATACTGTCTGGAGTTTAGAGGAATGAGAAGAGGTCTAGTTGACATGTGTAAGATGCTAAAGGGGATTGACAAAGTACACATTGAAAGGATGTTCCCTAATGTGGGGCAATCTAGGATGATCAGTCATAGTTTTAGGATAAGGGCTGGCAGATTTAAAACAGAGAAGAGGAGAAATTACTTCTTTCAAAGAGTTGTGAGTCTGTGAGATTCATTCCCCCAGAGTGTGATAGATACTGGGACATTGGAATCTGTGAATTAGTTCCAACCAACAGAGCCTGCTGTTCCTCTCCAACATGTTACTTTTCTTTCCCTCTCCTGCTTCATTTATTCTACACTTTTGAGTTTTCCATGGACATGCAGACCCAGATACTTCATCCCTGGTTTTTACTCTGCTTGAACTTTGTTTTGGACTGTTTTTGATTGAACCTTTATGGAGGCATTTCCCCAGTTCCCAGTTGGTGCCTGGTCTGTTGTACCTGTCCTGCTGGGACCCTGGGTCCAGACTAATGCAGCTGGGGCCAGGCCTATCATTGCTGTTTCTCCCTGCTCCCGTATCTGCTGTTAGAGCCCCACAAACATCTTTTTGGGATCTTACTGTGTACAAAATGGCTCCTGTGTTTCCTCTGCTATCATAGTAACTAGTCTTCAGTAACACTTCGCTCACTGGTGAGCAGTTTAAGTTGCCCTGAAATTTTGATAGGTGCTATGGAAATGCAATTTTGTTTGGGTAAGTTCTGCGCATGTATTTGATAATGAGGAGGCACTGACCTCACAGAGAAGCCAGTCAGGTCGTTGGTTTTGTTCAGGATGTTGTGAATTATCCCGACCACATCCTTGCTCAGCGATAGATCGATGGGTGCCACAACCAAAATGGCTGACATTTTGGAGACGACAATCTCCAGGTCCCTCAGCGACAGGCTCGGAGTCTCATGGGTAAGGATCAACACGTGCCTCGCTACATCTTTCGCATTGTCTGTGGAAGGAAGGGTTAACTCCAGGCATGGGGGTAAATTCAGACATGGGGGATAAATTCAGACATGGGGTTAACTCCAGGCATGGGGGTAAATTCAGACATGGGGGATAAATTCAGACATGGGGGGTAAATTCAGACATGGGGGATAAATTCAGACATGGGGTAAATTCAGACATGGGGG